ACTGTTAGTGGATTTTAATGGTCACAAGCGTGTGGGGGGGGGGGGGGGTCCCCTGTTTGTCTTCAGTCTGAACATGTGACTCCAGTTTGTGGACGACACATTATTGAAAACTCAAACATTACATAAAATTATGTTTGTGCTGTCTCTGATAATAGAAGAAACGCATCAAACCTGCTTTTTAAATTGTATTAGTTTATAAAAGCAGCAATTAAAAAGAGCTTTAATCTTTAGTTTACCTCATCGATGTGTCCGGTAGATCTGAACACATCATTTATGTTAGAAGTTTATGTTTTCTACCACAAAGAAACTCTTTACATCAGAGACTGAACGATTGTTCACAGTAGAATATGAACATTTTCTCTTGCTGCTCTTCTGTGATTATTAAATAATCTAACAGGTGTTATACATTTAAAACAACGATGTTTTACTTCATGAAACACATTTTCAGCTTCTGATTCTTCAGTCACAGAAACTGCGATAATATTAAATGTTAGTTTAGAACACGACTTTACAAAGTGTATTTGTGTTTTACATAGTTAGAGATGAATAAAGAAACAACAGAAGTGCTCATTACATTTTATTGGTTTATAACAGCAGTGCTTTCAGACCAACAGCCAATGAAAAGAGCTTTAGTGGTCCTTGAAGGGTTTTAATCAGAAATATGGCGTCGGGTCGCTCTTGTCGCACATCTGGACGTGAACATGTGAGGTGATTCCTCTGTAAACCATCTGCATCGGCATCATGACGCCGATCCTCTCGCCCTTCATCACCGATCCAGAGAGTCGGTCCGGCTGAATGTAGAACAACTTGAAACATAGACCTGCAGGAAGAAATACTCTGTTACAGTAAAGGTACTAATACCTCAGTGTAAAAATACTCGGTTGAATTAAAGGTACTAATACCACAGTGTAAAATACCATAAAGCGTTTAACTCTGTCAGCAATGTTGCGATAGTTAGCACTGTTGGTGCTGTTAGCACTGTTCGCACTGTTCGCACTGTTAGCACTGTTAGAGCTGTTTGCGCTGTTAGCACTGTTAGCGCTGAGCTGCCAGCTCAGCCGCTGCCATGTTGAGAGCTGTTGAGATACAATAGAAGAGCTCCCGGTCTCGTATTCACACGTAAAGAACCGATGGACCGACCTTCTCCTCTCAGGTTGATCCCGTTGTTGATGGCCGCCTTCTTGACGTCGGTGTAGACGATGACTCCTCCGTTCAGAGTCACATTAAACGGAGCGTAGACGGTCGATCCGTCGCTGCACACGATGTCCAGACCTTTGTGTTCCCTGGTCCCCCTAAAACACGTCCAGATGTTGACCCACAAAGACATCAACTCATCTATTATTGTTTCAATGAATCCATTAGAAGTCTTTAAAATGTACGACGTCTATAAAAGTCCAACGTGACAAGTCTTTAGTTGGACCGTCCGAAACCTAAAAAGATGATCAGTCCGGACTGTTAGTCCTCAAACACCGGAGCCTACGTTACCCACAATGCACCTGAATAGTAGTGTAGTTGTTGTGTTACCGTCTGGCTCCATAGTGTCCGTCTCCCCAGCCGTCTGACGTCCTCCTGCTGTTGGCAGAGTTTCCACTGCAGAGCTGACCGAACTTTACGCCGTCACACACACACAACACAGCTACACACACACACACACACACACACACACATACACACACACACACACTTGTTTTTGTCACATTACATTGACTTACATTAATTCCCTGGAGACTCACTTCAACTTCACCCAAAACAACAGGTGTGAATCCTAATTGACTTTACAGAGTGGGGACCTTCATCACAGTGTCTCCATAAGGCTGTGAGTCCCCACAATACTGGTAAATGTGAACACGTGTTATTTCTAAGTTGTTTTTTTTTACCACAAAGGTTTTCATTCCAGAGACTCGACGACAGTAAAATATCAACATTTTGTCTCGCTGCTCTTCTGTGATTAATATTTAATCAGACGTTAACTTAAAACAAATGGTTTTACTTTATTAATCTTAGTCAATTAAATCTTTGTGTATTTAATAAAATAGAGAAGAAGACAAATGTTCAGACCAAACACTGTAAAACACACGATTAACAGACAGAAAATCAACGGGTGGAAATACAGAACATTGCTGTTGGTCACAGAGAACGAGGTGTTAAATATTTAAAATGAATCTTATATTAATGTTTGCAGCAGGATCACTAAAATATGTTGCTGAAAGCTTCCGATTGGTTCGTTATAATCAGGATTAAGACAATGATTCAGATTCTCACCCAACAAAACCACGACGCGTCTCATCTTCAGATCTTAGTTTGATGAACTTCTTATCTCGTTTTATAGAAGCTGACGTTCCTCTTTCAACACAGTGGAAAGTCCGCACGATGTTTTATTATTTCACAATGAAAGAGATGATGTCACATGTTGTCATGTGACATCATCGACTGTCGGGACAGCAAACAACAGCTGTTTACCTGTCCTCACCTCTTTGACCTCCACACGTCAGAAACTGGAATCCACAGAATGTCGACATTTAAAAAAAGTCGTTTTCATTTTTTTAATCATTTTAAATTTTAATGCTCATAAAAGTCAACAATCTTCACTTTATTTGTTTGAATCATTTTTTGTTTGTTTCACATCTACAGAATATTACTGTTATTGTTTCACTTCTTTTGTGAGATGTTTGCTGTGAGGAATGTAAAAAGAATAAACATGTTGGTGTTGATTACAGATTATTTTAACGTGCTGCTTTAGTCTTAAGTCAGAAAATGTTAAATATAATTCAACATATTTGAAGCGTAAAGTTTCCAGTAATAAATTAATCATAAATATTCATTTGGGTTTAAATTGAGATTCTTTTTCAAGACAAAGAATCCTGGACACTCCTTTCTTTGAAAAATAACTTTATTCATTGTTTTATTTCACTTCATACAATACTACATTTAAAATACATTTAAAATATATTTGTCTTATTTCTATATAAACTGCAGCGATCTGACTTTTAGTCCCGATACCGATCAGTGATCAATAAACTGTACGTCTCACTTTATGAACTTTGTAAACTAATTAACAAATAAATACATTGATATAAACTCATAAATAGGACAAATAACCAAAATCAGTATCGCTGCATTTCTTTTACAAACCTTTAACAATAAAAGTGATTTTAATCCCTGAGAGATAGATGAGTGTGTTGATGGATCTGTAGTTCACCTCCACACACATCTGGTCTCCCTTCTGTTTTAAACATGGAACACAAACTTAAACAAATCGACACAAAATTGGTTCTGAACAAATCTATAAGATTGTATGTCTCCGAGTTCTTTGAAATAGTTTTGTAATAGTATTTATATTTAGTAGTTCTACTCGCAGCCGTCCAGCAGATGGTGATGTTTCACATCTCTGTGACTCTGAGGTCAGCTTCACGACCGTAGCTCATTTGGTCCAGACATCACATGACGCTTCAACTTTATTCATTACAATGGACTTCAACTGTTATGGGACTGTCAGGCTCCGATGTCTGGAGTCTGTACTGATTAAAGTTGAAGCGTCGTGCTGTCGGATCAGTCCCATGATGTTTGGAGTCATTACTGAATGAAGTTGAAGCG